GGTGGCACAAGATGTTATGGCAGAGAATCTAAATATTCAAACAGGAATGGAATCATGGAACAACTTACTTTTTTTTTTTTTCCTTTTTGTCTTTTTTCGTGTCCAGCAACGGATCGCAACCCTCAGTGTCGCGCCCGTACCGGACCCGGACCGGGACTGGCAACGGGATCACAACCCTCGGTGCCGCGCCCACACCTCACTCAGCCAGTGAGCGGGAACCAGTCTGTATGTGGGATCCGAACCCTCGGCAGGAGCGCCGCCACGCTCCCAAGCGGTGCACTGTAGCAGTGCGCCACCGGGCCGGCCCAAACAACTTACTTTTTGCTGATTTCTTAATTTCACCTGTGGCCAGGGGGCCCTTCCCCATGGCCTTCACTTTCAGTTCCTCTAGTTTCTTCTGCTCCTCTTTTTGTTTTTCTTGAAAGCCTTTTATCTTCTTCGTCCATCTCCTTGGTCTGCTTCTTGGGCTGTTTTAGGGGCTTCCTCTTGCCACCTTCATGGCCAGACATGGGGCCTGCCACCTTGAGTAAATTTCTTAAACTTGCTAAACTTCAGTTTCCTTGTCAGTCCGAAAGGGATGGCACCACATCATGAGCTTTTGGGAAGAGTAACTGCAACCATCTGTACCAAATATGTCTGATACCTGGCTCTAGAGAGAGACTCCAGATTTGAATCCTGGCTGTGCGACTTTGGGAAAGTTAACTTCCCTAATCCTCAGATTCATCTATAAAATGTTGACAAGGACAGAATTTATCTGCTGAGGTTGTTGTGAGGATTAAATGAAACAGTCCATATGGCTACAAAATACAGCACTGTATAATATAAGTGTTCAGAAAGTGCTTAAAGACTAGGCCAATACACACATGGATTACCTCACTTAATCCTCTCAACAATCTTAAGAAGTATAATTATAAATTAATAGATGGGGTTCCTACTTCAGCTATTAAAACAAAGGTAGCATCTATATTAAATTTTGAAAGGCTGCATTTTATTATACTAATCCAACTGAAGATATTTTAAAAGAGAAACATCTTTTCTTTAACCAAGATTAAAATTGCCTATTAGTGAAATCTACAGGAACTGAAACTCAAAATAGGGTAAACCTAAAATGAGATTAATTGGAAGGATCTGGAAGAAGCTCATTAATCAAAGGAAGAGTAAAGGAATAAGAGAAATTCAGAGACCCAGTCTCATATCATCCCAGGCAAACCATCCATAGTAAGTGCAGCTCTGTCTTCACATAGAAAATCCCAGAAAAGTCAGAATGGCTGGGCTTGAGCCCAGTGTTCATGTCTTGAGATCACGGAGGTCAGATATAATGACTGGCAGCCCCTTCAGAACCACACAGAGTGGGGTAATATCAGTCACCCTAGGAACTGTATGTTACACAAGGAAAAGAAGAAATGAAAAGATGCTGAGATTAACTAATGAAAAAGAGCTGTGCACTACAACTGTAAGCTAAATCCTTCAATTTACCTCTATAACTGAACTATTTTGAATAGGATTTACTAATACCAATGACATAGATATGATAAAATTACATATTAGGAATAATTTAACTTTAAAAATGCCTAATAGTCTAGCTCCCTAAGGAACTTTTTGACTAATATCCTTTACATACTTTACTTATTATATATAGACTACTACCCCAGACTTCAGAAAATAACATCTCTACCTTAATAATACTGCAGGAGGAAAAAGCAGGAAATAGTTAATGCTTCCCTGAAATATCTCCTACCGCATCAACTTAGTTCAGATGGTGTATAGTGGCAAAAATATGAAAGGAAATCACTTTGTCAGCAAAATATTATCAATGAACATTATTAGGAAATGCACTCATCTCTCTTCCCTTAGATGTATTCAGACCTTCTCATTCTCCCTCCATACTCGACCTCTCTTTCATATTTTTCTTCTCTTTACCTCTCCAGACTACATTCTGGTCATTTCTTTGGCTTTATCTTCCAGTTTACTAATTTTCCCTTCACTTATTTTACTTGCTTATGAATATCTGGCTAAACATTGTAGGGAAAGTGAAGGAAAATGGTCAGGGCCCCTCAGATGTTCAGAATCTTGCCGAGCATTTGATGTAAACAGACACGTGTGCCCAGGTGTTCCTTGGTTACTACCTAATGTAATTGCACATGTGCACCCAGGTGTCTTGTGTTATGGACTTAAGTATAAAGGATGAGTGGCTCTGAGCCAGGGTGCCCGCCCCACCCCTGGGCTACCCCCCCGGGGGCCATGAGGAGGCCCCTACTGCTGCTGGAGGCTGTTGCTGCTGCTGCTAGTATCCCCGGGACCCTCCAAGAGGCCACCAACACCACCAGGCCCGTAAGCTGCTGGACCTGAAAGCTGCTGCTGCTGCTGCTGAGAACGGAGCTCATGTCATTTGCCAACAGCTCCCGGGATCTTTCCCAATTACGTAGCATGGACCCACGTGTGAGGGGTCTGGTGAGTCCGCCTGGCATATAAGGGGTTTGTGACCCACTTTGCACAATGGGTTTGAAGGGTCTGAGCCCTAGCCCTGACAATACAAATAGAAACTTAATACAACTGAAATAATGAAACATTTTGGCTTTAGTTATGATTTGCCTTACTCGACAGTGTAAAATGACACAACCACTTTAAAAAAAACTCTTCAGCAGATTCTTAGAAAGTTAAACCTATATCTACCCTGTAATTCACCAATTCCCATTCCTAGATGTTTATTGCCCAAAAGAAATGAAAACATATGTCACGGAGGTCAGATATAATGACTGGCAGCCCCTTCAGAACCACACAGAGTGGGGTAATATCAGTCACCCTAGGAACTGTATGTTACACAAGGAAAAGAAGAAATGAAAAGATGCTGAGATTAACTAATGAAAAAGAGCTGTGCACTACAACTGTAAGCTAAATCCTTCAATTTACCTCTATAACTGAACTATTTTGAATAGGATTTACTAATACCAATGACATAGATATGATAAAATTACATATTAGGAATAATTTAACTTTAAAAATGCCTAATAGTCTAGCTCCCTAAGGAACTTTTTGACTAATATCCTTTACATACTTTACTTATTATATATAGACTACTACCCCAAACTTCAGAAAATAACATCTCTACCTTAATAATACTGCAGGAGGAAAAAGCAGGAAATAGTTAATGCTTCCCTGAAATATCTCCTACCGCATCAACTTAGTTCAGATGGTGTATAGTGGCAAAAATATGAAAGGAAATCACTTTGTCAGCAAAATATTATCAATGAACATTATTAGGAAATGCACTCATCTCTCTTCCCTTAGATGTATTCAGACCTTCTCATTCTCCCTCCATACTCGACCTCTCTTTCATATTTTTCTTCTCTTTACCTCTCCAGACTACATTCTGGTCATTTCTTTGGCTTTATCTTCCAGTTTACTAATTTTCCCTTCACTTATTTTACTTGCTTATGAATATCTGGCTAAACATTGTAGGGAAAGTGAAGGAAAATGGTCAGGGCCCTCACAAGACATTAGCTTGGTGAAGAGAGAGACTTATCTTGTAAGTAGTTATTACTAATTATTACTAAGTACAGTTGGCCCTCCATATCCATGGGTTTGTATCCATGGATTCAACCAACTGCAGATCAAACATATTCAGGGAAAAAAAAAAAAGAATCTCATCTGTACTGAACATGTAGAGACTTTTTTCTTGTCATTATTCCCTAAATACAGTAAAACTATTTACATAGCAATTGCACTGTATTAGGTATTATAGGTAATCTAAACACGATTTAAAGTATACTGAAGGATGTGCATAGGTTATATGCAAATACTATAACATTTTATATCAGGGACTTGAGCATCCATAGATTTTGCTATCTGTGGTAGGTTCTGGAACCAATCTACAGATATCAAGGGACCACAGTAATAACAATGAACATAAATATTCATACAATGAATGAATCAGCAATGAAAAAGGAATAAACTACTGATAAAAGCAACATGAATGAATCTCAAAATCATTAGGTTGAGCAAAAGAAGGCAAATATAAAAATATATATATACTATATATACTACATGATTCTACTTATATGAAGCCCAAAAACACGTACAATTACTCTGACAGCAATCAGAAGGTGACTGAGTTCGGGGTAGGGAGAATGGATTGGCAGGGAAGAGGCAGGAAGGAGCCTCTAAAAGTGATTAAAGTGTTCTGTGTCTTGTTTTGCATAGTGGTTACATGGATGTATAAGGGTTATCAAAAACATATAGGGTTGAAATAAGAAAATATGAAGAAGAAAAAAGTCTGTACATGTTCAGTACAGATGCAATTGAACAAAATTGAATACTTAATACCTGTGTATTTTCTTGTCTGTAAATTATATCACAATAAACATACATGTTTTTAAACTTAACTGAGGTAAATAGTCATTTGTGATTTGCCAAAGCAATGTTTCTTAAATTCAAAATAAAACATACTTTAGAAAAACAAATCATTTGATATTTAAAATTTCCATCACAGCTGAGAAATAAGCCATCAATGTGTGTTTATAGAATTAAGATTCTGAGCTAACAGAAGGGTGACCAAACATCTCAGTTTGCCTTAGGCCAGTGTTAACAATTGTTAACAGTGCCTACTTCACTACCAAAAGTATTCTAATTTTGATGAAGACCTTTAAGATCACTTTAGCTAAAAGGGAACTTAGCTATTATTTAGTACAATGAGCTCATTCACTTTTTCACTCAACCCACATTTGCTAAGCAACTATTATATACCCAAACATACTCCCTTTGTTCTTGCTACCACTTGCATTGCTTCTTTGTTTCCACAATCAAAATATAAAATAGCTAGATGGATTTTTCCCTAAACATAAAATTTACACCTGAGAACAAACTAGATACAGAAGAAATCAATCAGAACTTTTATCTACAAGAAAAATATAAATCAAGCTTATGAAAAAAAAAAATACTCAAGCTGTGAAAAACAACGTATGTAAAGATATTCACAAATATAAAATAAAGGAAACCTTTACCTGCTGCCCTGTAAAGTATTTTAGGTTCAAAAAATATACAAGGATTTTTATCCTCTATGCATGACAAAAGAAGTCCTTTGGCCTGGAAAGGGCTTCTGGGTACAACCACCTGCAAAAACAGATTTTTTAAGAGACAATTTTAGTAAAAATGTATCCCAGTAAACTCACAGATAGAAAGGGTTTATATTTAAACAACAATTGTTATTAATTAAAAATAGAAATCTGATACTTATTTTTAGTCTACTTGCCATTTATTATAAAACTTATATATTGTCCAAAAAAAATTCCTTTTGTTCAACAAATATTTATCAGATGCCTACAATGTTCTGATAACTAAGACATAGCTCTTCTCTCAAGATACTGTTCTTCTCATAAAATATTGCTCATCTCTAAACTTATGTATATAAAAAATAAAAGGAATCTGCAAAGAGCATTCATCAAAGGAAAAAAAGTAAAATTGTCAATATCTACCTGTATTTACCTTTACATAAAGAAATCTCTTCTACTAATATTCTGCTGCTGCTTTCAAAGTGCATGCAACTCTCTTATCTCATTTTAACACACCAAAATCTCCTTTTCCATAAAAAAATATAGTCTTCATGTTATAAGTAGAAAAAAAATCCACTGAATTTTATGATCCAGGCACTACACTGCCCAGTTATGGCAGAGGAAATAGAAAAGTGTGGGTACTCCACACTTCCATTTGACAGGAAGGGCTCCAGCACCTTCTTGAGAATGAGGGTGATTATGAGGAAGATACGACAGCAGAAGTACATGTGTTAATGTGGCCACACACTTTATGTAGACTAATTCACCTACTGTTCATACAACTCCATGAGGTAGCTATTATTTTCCCCATTTTAAAAATAGAAAACAAGCTTAAAGAGAGATCAAGGTTCTTGCGCAAGAGATTGGTGTGACCTTGCCCAAGTTTCCATTGGCTTGCAAGACTAGGTAGTCTCACCCAATTCTGACACCAAAGCTGAGCTCTATGCCATGTTGCATCAAATCACAAACTTGTAATTAATGTTTAATCATTGCAAAATAACTATATAAAACAAGTATTACATTGGAAGAGTTATCATTAAAATAAACCCAAATTTACCAAAAAGGCTTAAATAAGATTCCTTGGAGCAAACTACATTTGACTTTCAAAGTCATTTTATACCATTTTTATTGAGGATCTTTATTTAAAAAATAAAATAACAGAACTAATCTCACTATTTTATTTCCTGTAACAGACTTCTGACACATTAATAACCATATAACACAATGGCCTTATCTTGTATTCCTACTTTTTAGTTTCTCTATATCTGCTTTCTTCATATTTTTATCTTTATATATTCATATATTTACTTTGTATATTTACTTTTATTCTTTATGTATATTTTCATTTGGGGGAAAAAAGAGAAAGAGAGGGGAAAGCGAAGGTGGAGGACTGCAAGAAAAGGTCTGTTCTTAACAACACTGGGTAATGTTATAAACATTAAATGTGAATCAATGGTCGGCTCAAGCACAAAAATAACTGTTGCCTCAGCTGGTAGGTTCGACAGAAGCTAGAGTATGTTGGAAAATCATGCAACCTCTACTCAACTAAGAAAAACCTTCTGATTTTGATCTGGTAAAAAAAAAAATAAAAATTAAGAATAAAACATAGACACATGTTCACAACGAATTCATGTTGTCAAAAAGCAAACATACACGTGGACTGACATATCTGTGAGTTTCTATGAAGATTCTCTGGAAAGCTCTTCAGTAAATAGAAAAGATGATAATGTAAAAAATTAAGACATAAAATACTCAAAATATTTTTCTCAAAAGACCTAAGCTATTGTGAAAGGCAGGCTATAAAAGGGAAATGCTTCAAAATTGTTTGAGTGTTATTTTACCCTAAACTGGGAAAAACACATCTAGGTAACAGTCTCCTCTCAGTTTATTTTAAAAGTTAGAAATGTTCATTCCCCATACTTGCCAGCCAACAAAAAAAAAAAGAAAGAAAGAAAGAAATGGACTAAAGCAAAAGTCCTATCCTTCTGACTTTGAGGTAAATATGGACTAAATACTAGATTTATTAAAATCACCCCAGCATCAGTGAAGAAAGACCCATTAGAAAGAAACATAGAGCTTTGAAAGAAGGGGAAGATAAACCAACTATGTTGTCAAATCTTATTCTTTGAAGTCTACGAAGTTAATTAATGCCGGCATGAAGCCCGTGCTGCTTTAAGAAGAATATTCTATAAAACTGGGCACTGGACAGTTGATTTAAAAGAAATGCTTGCTCTTTCTTAAATACAATTAAGTTCACATGAATTTCAAAAATCCTGGGTTTTTTTCCTCTAGTTAATATTAACAGATTTAACCAAATGAAAACATCAAATGGAGATCAAATAAAGGATATAAATGAGAATACCTTGATTCCTGGGCAATGGGCAAAAAAAGCTTCGGGACTCTGAGAATGATAGAGAGCCCCATGGCCAACACAGCCCCAAGGGGACCGGATAGTGAGGCTTCCACAGTTAAAAAGATCCCCAGAGCGATAGCGATACTTGGCAGCCTCATTAACAATCTGAGGGGTAGAAAAGGAGAAGAGACGTCACCATGAGTCCTTCCTTCCAAATTCATTTTCTTAAACCATTACATTAAACCTTTAAATATATGCCCATAAGAAAATGAAAAACAGAATACAGTAGCATAAAACATTCCTAAGATGGGGGTGAGAGGGTGGAGGCAATACTTCAATACTTCATGGAATTAGCCTTAGAAATGCTTATTTATAGTAAAATATGATGCACTTACCTGATCAAAAGCAGGGAAAATATAATCTGCAAACTGAATTTCTGCAATGGCAGTAGCACCAGTGACTGCAATTCCAATTCCAAATCCAACAATTCCTTGTTCACATAATGGGGTATTAAAAACTCTATCTTTTCCTTAAAAAAAAAAAAAAAAAAAAAAA